GGTACTCTTCGCTTTCTTCTTTCTCTTCTCTGTCTTCAGAGTCTTCTTTGCTTTCAAAGTGGTAGTCCACTACGCCATTCTTTGTGATTATGCTGAACCTTTTGTAGCCTTCGTTCTGTATCGATCTTATAACGGCTGGGTCTGTGTCCGATATTCCTACTACTTTGAACACGTTCCTTGTGATTGTTTTGGTTGGGTACTTTATGTACACCTGCACCAAGTTGATCACTTTTGACGCATTTGCTGTCCTTATGACCGTGTTCTTGTCTATCGTGTGTTTGCTCCCAAGGATTTCTGATATGCTCCTGTGGAAGTACTGGTTGTACACTATTGCCTTCTCTCTTGCCACCAGATCTTCTATTACTTTTGTCCTTATCTCGGTGTTTATCGAGTCGCTTTGTTTTTTGTTCTTATCTGTGCCTGGATTTGCCCCGAATGACTCTTTCTGTTTTTCGTAGTGCGTGTTTAGGATGTACCTGCTCCGCCGTATCTTTCCTTCAAACTCTGTTACTGTTTTTATCTCTGTGCATCCTGTCAGTACGTGTCTTAGTGCTATATTTGCCTTTTTATTGCTCATGCCCAGATACTCCTTGATGTCTTGTGTGGTCACTCCCTCCTCTCTGTGCAGAAGCCCTACTATTTGGCTGTATATCGGCACATTCCGCAGCCATTCTTTTGGTACAGAGCACTCTTTCATCTGATTGTTGCTTATCACCGGGTTATTTGTTAAAAATATTTTATTTTCTTCTTTTTTGACTAAACCTGCACCGCACAGTTTCTTGATGAAGTAGAAGAAAGACTTTGCTCCTACCTTTAGCTTGCTCCTTACGACATTGCAGTCAATCGGGTCTTTATTCGTGATCAGCTCGTGAAATATGAAGTAGTATTCCGGACAGTTGAACTTCAGCCGCCCTTTTGTGGCATATTCTGTGAACTCTTTGTTTGTTGGGCGGATAAAAAGGCCATTCTCTTCTCCCGAGGGAGCTCTGAAGAGAGTTGGGTCCAAGTTCTCTTTCACTGCAGCAACCGACTCGCCCGTGACTATTTCTCCCTTTCCTGCTCCAACTATCTGGTTTATCTCATTTTTGCTGATTTCTTCTATTGGTACGCCATAGAATCCTTTTCTGCACAAATCTTCTGCCGTAAACATTGCAAAGTTCGCCTCTTAAAAATAGAAAAGCATAAATATTATTTTATTTTGCCCAACCATCAAGTAGATGAAAAAGAAAAACAGAATAAAACTAAAAACAGAAAAGAGTGGGCTAGAACAGAAAATAAGCAGCCACGAATAGTTGATAGTGTATGGCAGGAACAACATAAACTTATTTTTAAATCATGGCAGTTGGGATACTAGGAGTACGGCTGTGCATAGGATATGAATTTATTGATTAGCTTTTAGCACACTGCAGTGTTTACGGTTTTAGTTTTGTTCTAAAGACTAAAGTGCTTTTATTGCTAACTTTCTTAGTACTCTCTGTATTTATTCTTTGTCTTGGGCTGGGGCCCGTACAATAATGAGTAATTGCCACATATACGGCTGGAAATAGCTAATTATCACAAAATAGCACAAAATAACATAGATAGAAATTATTCATTAATATTATCACTGCATCTCCTTATAGCTGTCTTATTAGTACTTATTTTACGGACATAGGTGCTGATGACTTGACATACACTGTTTTGACTACTTCCGGGCACTCTGCGCCTATGCATCCGCTGCGTGGTATATTTGTGGGTGCTGCAGGCCTGATGAATCCCGGGTGCATTTGGTTGGGCGGGCATGTCCCCATGGCTCCCATAGGGCACTCACCGGACAGGGGGATATTTGGGTTGGTGCATCCTTCTTTGCACACGAGTCTTTTCTTCACTAGCTTTTTAACGATGTAGTACTTTTTGTCTGCCTTTGGCTCACTTGATGGCGTGATTATCTTTTCTTCTGTTTTTGTCTTTATTTTTGTTTTTTCTTCTGTTGGCTGCACTGTCTTCACTGTTGTAACTGTGGTTGTCTTAGTCGCATGCTTGGTTTTTATTGACACTTTGTCTACTGTCACTGTCTTTGGTACGAATATTGTGCTGAATTTAGTCCTCTCCACGTGATCACTGATTGTTTCTGTTTGTGTTTTGGTCGTTGTTTCTGTTTCTGTCTTTACCACTGTTTTTATTTCTGTTTTTGTCTTTGTTTCTGTGATGTAATTATCCACCGTGTTCACCACGTACTGTGTTCTCACCGTTGTCTTGTAAACCGGAACTGACACCTGCACTGTTGTGGTTGTGGTAGAGAACGGTATAGTTATTACATTCCCATCCATGTGAAACTTTGGTATCTCCCGCAGAGCAGCGTTCTCGGGGGGAACCATGGCATTCTCCATGATGTTGTGGTTTGGCTTCAAATTCGGCAGTTTTTTGGGAAAGTTTTGATTTTGCAAAATCTGTATTTTTTTATCTAGCTCTTCTAATAAGGTATTCTGTGTCTTCCCGCCAAAGAGCACGTTATCCAGCGCAGAGATGGGCACTCTGTGCACTTCTATTGTCTCGTCATCTGGCGGGCTTTCTGTCACATTCACCCGCACTGTCTTTGTCTTGCTGACGGTTTTTGTGACCACCGAGGGAATGTGCATATGCGGAATCTCGCTGGGAATAGCCATGGTCTCGCAGCCGCACGAATTACTGCCCAGGCAGATGCACTCTCCTGGCGGGTGCGCCTTATTGGCTATGCTTATGAACTTCTCCAGGCCATTGGCCAGCATAGCTATTTTACACATCGAATAAGCGCACGCTTCATCCTTGTGGATCGGAAGATTGAAGCTCTTGGCATACGAGTCGTATGCTGGCATGGGCCTGTAGATGGAGCTGAGACAATCATTGTAATTTATTCCATACAGCTGGCATCTCATGTCATTGCTATTGTACGCGAGGACACGTGAAGGAGCCAGAAGCAGGATGGCTCTTAGGAATATCTTTCTTTTTCGCATTCCTAAAACAATGCCCGTGTCTATTAACTATTTACTTTGTGTTTCACAAATGTCATTGGACAATGGCAAAACATAAAATAAACACAATTATGGAAGTATTGTGCTGCTGACTGTGCGTGCATGCACATGTTTGCACATCTATATCTATTATTCATTTTATACTAAGTGATCTATTCGTGCAAAACAAATTTTTATAAATATAATACAATTCTATGATTTATTATACACTGCCGTTATTTCCTGTCTGTCTCCATCTCTTTACTGCACAGTGTCTGTTGCGTGTTCTAGTTAGTTGGTATCTCTGCGATTTCATTTAGCAGAATGTCCAGCGCATAGTTATCTATTCTATTCAGCGAGGGAATGAGGGCCTTTGCGTCTGTGTGTCTCTCTGGTGACAGATTGATAATCAGCGATGCCTCATAGTCGGATATTCCTGCATTGACCAGCGTTCTTCTGACTCTTTCAGCCCACGACGGGTTCCTGGGAGAAGGACAGGTCCTTAGATACTTCAGAATTCCCTGGAAGGCTTCATTGTTCTCCATGCCCCTTTCCATGCGTATTCTCTCGACTATCATCAGTGCCTCGACTGAAGAGATAGACTTAGACTCGTCTTTGGCTCTTTCGATTATTTTCATAAAAATAAAAATAAATTTACACTTATAATGGAAGGAGTAAACGCATACTACTCGATACTTCAGTGCGCTCTGAATAAAGAAGAGAGGCCCATTGACAAAGAAATAGGAGAGTATAAAGAAGCACTAGCTAAAGAAACACGCTCTGCTTATAAAAATATAGCAAATAGCAATGCATTCCCGTACTGTTTGTGCTCTCTTTCGCTCTCTCAGGTAGAAAGGGCTATAGAAATAGAATACGTCTCATTGACTCCTAGATCTATGCACATAGGCTTAATTACAGCAGAAAATATCTCCAAAGACAGCTGCAAGAGCGGCAAACTAAACAAGGAAGTGCTGATCTTAAGGTGTAGATGTGCTAAGAACAAAGAGATAGACTGGGACAGCAATCCGTTGTATGCCAAGGTGGTCTGTCTGCTAGTTGACTACAAAAATAAAATAGAAAGCAACATGAAAGTGTTTAACAAAATATTCAAAAATAGGGAAATAGATGATGGTGAGAGAGAGGACGAAAGTAAAAGTGAAATAAAGGACACTGAAATAGAAAAAGAGCTAGAAAGACGAATCAGCAAGAAAAACATAAGGGAACTGCTCAGAACAACAGAAATAACCGCAGAACAGAACAAACTTCTCAATAAGATAATAAAGAGCACAAGAAAAATAAAAAAATAAAAAGAGAGCGAATAAAAATGGAAGAAAACAGAATAGACAGCGATGCATATACGAGCATACTTAGCAGAGAGTACTCAGAGAGAATACCGTGCAGGGTTCTCTCAGTAGAAAAGAGTGAGATAAAAGATACCTTAAAAAAAGAAGAAAAAATACTCAACGTAAAAAGAGTCCCGAGAATACTCCACTCTTCCTTTCTCAGTAACAAAAAGGGAATAGAAATAGAAACAGAAAAAAAGAATGAAAAAGACACAGTGTGGATACTTCTTAAAGAAGAAAGTAGTAGGGGAGATAGAGCTGTGCTAGTTCTGAGCTATGAATACTTCACACACAATGAGCTGCTCAAAAAGGCAGGAATAAGTGAAGACGAATACCAGTCCAGCTACAACAAGGTAGGAAACATCATCCATTTGAACCTAAAGGACGACTCTGTAAAGCACAAAGAAATAATCTCGCAGGTGCTTCTGGACAAGATAAAAGACTGCAAGACGGTCATAAGAAAGTGTTCAAACATCAACAACACGTTCAGAAATATAGAAATAGAGCATCTGGCCGGCAAAAGAGCATACAAAACAGTGCATAAAGAGAACGGGCTGCGCTTTTCCATCGACTATGACAAAGTGTACTGGAACTCGAAGCTGCAAAAGGAAAGAGAAAATCTTTCTGGTAAAATATCTAAAAATGAGACAGTTTGCGATCTGTTCTGCGGAGTAGGCCCCTTTTCCATTCTGGCGCTGGCGAAAGGAGCCACTGTGTGGGCAAACGACTTAAACCCCGACAGCATAAAAAACTTTAAAGAGAGCATTGTGCTGAACAGAAAGGTGCTCGGTGTGGAGAGCGAAAGCGTTGTGTGGAATGAGGAGCTGGAAGATAGAATATTTCTGTACAATTTAGACGCACACGACTTTTTGATTAAATCAGCAGAAGAGAAGAAAAGAAAAACAAACAGTAAGATTTTCAACCACTACATACTGAACCTGCCAGAGCTAACCCTCAGCTTCATAAAATACTTCGTAAAGATAGAGGAAGATGTGAAGGAAGAAACCAAAGCAACAGTGCACGCGTACTTCTTCATAAAAACAGGAGAGAGTGCAGTTGAAAAGATAGAAGCAGAAATGAACAGAAAGGTCATTTGCACGAGCAGACTAGTAAGAAAAGTGTCGCCATGCAAGGAAATGTGGCTGGTGTCATTTGAACTGCTAAAGAATAACTAGAAATAAAGCAGAAATAGATAAAGAAGGATGGACTATTGATAAAAATAAAGGCGGCAATGGATTAGTTATAGAGATATAAAAAGTACAGTTGTTTTATTCTGATAGTTTTTTCTTCACTGAGATCAGCATGTTCTCCAGGATACTACTCTGTTCTTCAAGGATTGCCTGTGTCTTGTCCTGTGCTGATGGTATGAACTCTCTTTTGTATGCCAGTACATTCTCTGAGAGCGAAGTCAGTCCATCGCCCAGTAAATTAGACCTTTTCTCTAGCTGATTATACTGCGACGATACGCTTTTTATTTCTGGCCCAAGCGACTTCCCTGCCTGCTCCAGCACCTCCACCAGCAGACTATTGTACTTTTCGTTGATGCTGGCTAGTTTATTTGTTAGCTTCAGTATCCCTCCTTCTTTTAGCTCATTCAATCTGTCTCCCAGATACTTTCTGCTTATTTTTAGCTTATCAATAACCGACTTTTGTTTTTCCAGTCGCAAAGAAAGCTCGTCGTGTCCGAATATTATCTCAGGGTATAGATAGCCAGGATATGGATTGAGGCTATTTGCCTGTGCCCACAGTTCGTTAGAGACGTTACTCGGCTTCTGAGGAGCGGGAGAAGATGGGTCAATTAAGTTATAAAAAGTATAGGAAAATTTGTACATGGGACTATTTTTGTCATACGCCTTTTCCAAGTAGTCTATGGTACAGTGTACATCGTCAATAGATCCGGTTGTATTTCTTAGCGAGGAATTAATAATGCTGTTGGATGATGCGTTAGCTGATTGATTGGCACCAGATAAACCTATACCGGTAGTATTGCCGAATGCATTGCCAAATGCAGTGCTACTAGTACCGCCCCCAAACCCAGTAGTGTTACCGAATGCATTGCCAAGGCCACTACTAGCAGCACCGAATGTGTTAGTACTGCTTCCAAAGCCGGTATTGGTAGAAGTAGCACCGAATCCAGTGCTAGTAGCACCAAAACCACCTAGGCCACCTGAGCTAGCAGATAACGGGCTGCCTCCTAATCCAGGAGTAACACCAGTATTTCCAAACCCAGTAGTATTAGTGTTTCCAAAACTAGTAGTATTGGCATTTCCAAATCCGGTGGTGTTCATATTGTTGTTTCCAAATCCAGTACTATTAAGATTTCC